ATCAAGCGCCCATGTTGTAGATGATGTAGATCTTGAAGTCTTTCTTCTTCTTCCTCCAAAAGATCTTGTAGCAGACTGGATCTATCCAACATCTCATCCATCATCTGTTGCTGGTACTCATTCAAGCGCAGCAGAGATCCAGACATTGAATCACCCTCCTCCTCAGCGGACCCCAAGGTAGGTTTGGCTACCAAAGCCTCTTCCTCATCGACAAAGTAGATTTGCTCCTTCAAGCAAGAATGCCTCGGGCCAGAATCTGTTGGAAACTTGTTGACCAGCTTGGAGTTGACCTGCTGATTGCCCCTACACCACGACCCCATCCAGAATCATCTCCTCCACATAGCTCCAGATTGGTTGCAACACAATATGACTCCATCGTTCCCGTAGGCGAAACCTCAGTCACAGGTATCTGGTATTCTCGCTGCAAACTCTGCAAAGTTGACGATCTCCACCATTGGGCCTCTGGGTCAAGTGTAGAGACAAGGTATGGAGCGGTCTGACGGTGCAGTCTGGATCCCTCCTTTGCAACCATCCACAGCAACAACTGCTTCGTTGCCAGCTCCTTGCACGCATTCGTAGGTGGAGCTCCAAGAACTCCTTCAATCTGTCCTCTTGCTGCTGCCCAGATTGCTGCCTGATAGGCCGCGCTGATGCCCTTCATCGAAAAACTGTGAACATTCATGCTGAGGAACACCGTCTTGTCCGTCTCTACAATCTTGTAGGCCTCGTTACCCTCGCCCTCTCGCTCGTGTAGCTTCAATATCCACCTCTTGCTAAGCAAGGATTTTCGCTGAGCTCGACGGAGAGGAAGCTTCTTCAGGTACTGCTTCCCGGCTTCCTCAGTAAGTTCAACATCCACAGACAGCGTAGACACCAGTTGACTCTCCAACCCTTGTAGCGGAGAGCCTGGGGCTTGGAGAGCTTGCATCAAGGTTGCACGGCTCCCAGTTCTGACGAAGGAACCAAAGAGCTCGTCCCAATCCTTCACATCTGACAAGGACATAGTCTGGAGGAAGGTCTCTGCCGTGGCATTCTTGAGCTCCTGAAGCTTCTTCTGCTCCAACTGGTGTATCATACTCAAGGCCTGAGCTTCTCCCAAAAGCGGGCAGTTGCCCTTCACGACTGTCTTGAGGACCCCGAATTCAGGATGCGTAATTTTCAATCCACCTCGTCTGGTCCACGTCAGTTCACATCCAAGTTGCTGGACTAATGCTCCCATTGGTAATATGGTCGCGGTCTCCTGTGCTGGGGTACTTTGGCTTGTTGGCATGGGTGTGCCTGCTCGGTTTTGTTGGAGGGTTATCCATTGTCCTCCAGCAAGCTCTACCCGAACTGGTACACATCCGTCTTCTTGAAATCCTTGTTGTGAAGCCCCACTGTCCAACAAAGCCAGCTTCTCCCCTTCATTGAAACCCAACCGAGCCATCTGCATGTCCAGTGCCTGAACGCTGGTGTCCGTGGACACTTGTAAAGCCTGGAGCTTCGTCAACTTGTTCAACATTGCATTGGCCTGCTGCAGTAACACACTGATCTCCTGGCCTTCTTGTCTGTAGCAGGATTCTCCAATGTGGTCGCCCCGGAAGAAGGAGTCGCTGTTGGAAACTTGAATTGCTCCTGTGGAACCGCAGTTGACCCGGACGCTGTAGGGGGATTCGTTGCTTGTGAAGCCGTAGTCGTGGATGATCCCATAGCCGCCTGGATAGAATCCAAAATCGCTTGTTGTTGTTGCTGCATAGTCACTTGATTCAAGGTCGGAGCGGTAGTAGATGAAGTTGAAGGCTGTCCACCAGTCGAGGTCCCACGAGGTTTTGTAGGTGATTGCGCCTTCCCAGCCTTAACCGGACATTCTTTCTGGATGTGAATCACCGACCCACAATGCCAGCAACGATGTTTCTTGGCCTCCTTGTTGGGAAACACATGGTCAAACTTGCACGCCTGACCCTTAGAGCAACCGTTGTCCGAGACGAAGTACTTGCAGGGTGCCCTTCCGGTGCCGCTGGAGGGTTGATCTCCTTGTCGCCTGGTTGGAGAAGTAGACTCACCTGTGCCAGCACCCTGATTTCCGACACTCATCCCCTTGAGCCTTGCACTGTCAGCTGCCGCGGCGCTTGTAGCTGCAGGCTTTGTCGGAGCTGCTTGTTGGAGTTCAGCCAGCACATGATTGTAGAAGTGGAGAACGTTGGCCACGGAGGGTAGTTGTGACTTTGAAAGAGCTAAGCGGAAGCGAACTTCATGGTTTGCTTCAACAGACTTCGAGGAAATCAGCTCGACAGCCCTTAGGAGCACAGAAGCGTCAGGAACTGCCACATGCATTTCTTCCGCTCGTTGCAGGTGACGTCTCCAGCGGCGTAGATTGGAGATCGTGTCAGCAATGTTGCCGCTTCCTTGTTGTCCTTCAAACTGTCTGAGGATAGCAGCACGTTCTGCTGACCCACCCGGTGCATAAAGGACGTGGAGCCTGAACAACAAGCCCGTCACATTCGAGATCCTGTGGGTGACGGCGTCATCCTTTGCTTGCTTCTGAAGTGTTCCCAGGAGCAGTGTAAGCACTCTCCGTTCCAACCTCATCCACTTCTCACAGCAAAGCTCCTCTGGCCTTGCAGGTTCCAAAGTCAAACGCGCCAAGGGATCGCTCATCTGGTACTTCTCGTACGTCTCCCTTGCGCAAGTCAAGCACATAGTGATCCAGGCCGATGCACGATCGCTTAGTCCACCCACTGCTCGCTCCACCTCATATAGCCAGTCCGCAAAGCTGACCGCACTGTCCGCCGTGATCTCTGGCATTATAAACTGTTGAAGCTGTCGCATCCCTTGCACCAACAAGTGCAACGACTCCACAGGACCTTCACGCCCACCTGGGGGATCGATCACCTGCTCCTGACGCTCTGCTCGTGGGACGCTTGTTGTTCCCATAGCACCCCTTGAAGTTCCAGCATCTATACCACCAGAGTTAACTGTTCAGCGGTGCTCCCAGTCCTGTCGTACCACGATGATCACCTCGGGTCGCTCCTGGAAATTTACCCTGAACAGCATGAAAGCTTGCATCACTTAGACCTTGAGGCCCTTGACTTACTCTAGCAACTCCTGCACCACCAAGAGGATCTTGCTCAGGTTGTCCCACAGGATCCTGAAGCCTCCCTTGGTCTCCAGTCGGGCCGCTCAATGTCCCTCCATTTCCAATCGCGCACATTGCAGAGTTGGCCTCAGCCAAAGCTCGTTCCAACTCCTCGTTTCTCTGCTTCAGCGAAATCACCTCCTGGTCCCTACCGTGCATTGCCAACGCCACCTGTCTCTTTACCTCTTCCAAAACCATCTCTTGGTTCACGCTGCTCGAAGAAGCTTTTTCCTCCTGGCGTCTGTGTTGGAGGCTGATCAAGGAGTTCCGAGATTGGTGCGTAGCCATAGCTTGTTGGAGGTCACGAGGTATCAGAGGAGCCGAAGACCTCTGGTTGGGCGTTGTAGTCGTAGTCATTCCGGAAGTCAAACGGCCCATTGGGTCAATAACTCTTCTTTGAAACATGTCCCCAATACTCAACCAATAACTTCTCACTCCATGCTCTGTCGTCTCCTGGCTTCGGACTGTATGGAAGCTCTCCGTAGTAGGTAGAGGTCTTGCAACACCCTGCGCGCCTTCAATCACCTCATCCGACTGAATAATCTGACTTGCACCAATCATCTCTTGCACTGTCGCCTCAGGTTGCTGTTGCGTGCCTGGTAGTAGATCACGAGGTCGCCGAGGGGATTCCAGCCGAAGGGCCGGCCTTGATGCAGGAGGGTGCGCAATTGGTTGCTGTGATGTAATAGAGAGCGTCAAAGATCCTTGCGCTGGAACTGGTGCAGGAATTGAGACGATTGCACGACACCCGGTTCTTGCTCTATAGTCTGGGTCATAGTCTGCGCTTCAGGTACCCGTAGCCGAGGTTGCAATACAGTAGACTGTTGCAAGGGTTGCTGTGCCTGTGGCAACTGCTGCTGCTGTGAAGCTTGAGAAGACTGCTGATACTGCGAGGCTTGTGAAGGTTGTTGTGGCTGCGATGCTTGCGAGGGTTGTTGGGGCTGCCGCGGTTGTATGGGCTGCTGCTGTTGTGATGCACCCAACCCACTACTCAGACCACTAGCTACACTCCCTTCAGAGACAACTCCTGTCGCACCGTACGTCGGCGCGCCCGGTCCGGAGCTCTGTTGTTGACGCACGGCTTCCACATTAGCATGCCCCTCAGCTCCAGCAGAAAAACTCGTCCCTTCGCCCATGCCAACATTAACGGCTTCAGCTGTAACAGGCTGCTGCAATCCCGACCCTGTACCATTCAGCATCCCACCTGAAGGTGTCGTCGAAGTCCTCGGACCTCCATAGTCTGGGCCTCCTGATTCCCCTTCCAGCACAGGTGTTTGTCCTGTTGAAGGTTGGGTACTCATAACCTGCAGCTTGATAACTGCGGAGCTGCTCTGGTAAGAGGGTCTTCAACACATGGCGGACACAGAGGCTTACTTTTCCGCACAGAGAGTCCTGCAAAAGCTTTACAATGCGCGACGATGTTCCATGCTACAGCCGAGAGTTCAAACGAATCAGCATGAAGCGTCAAGGTTTCCACAAAGACTCAACTCGACAGAGCTACAAAAAAAACCTCCGCAATGCAATCAACAACTTCCCCAAGGACGAGGATCATACTCCCGACCAAGCAATAGCCTATGGCCTTCCCGTCCCATCAACCTCGCAACGCAAGCGATAAGCCTGGCACGCCTGTGAACCTCACTGAACCTCACTGGTTGTGTCCCGTGCGGCCCAGGCCTCCTGCACTCTACCTGACACTTGCGCTGGCCCTGGCGCAAGGCACGGCCGGCACCGCTCCTACCTCGAACTTTCCGCCAACTGGACCCGCCTTTCGACGGCCCACGCGTGGATTCGCGAGGCGGAGGCAAGGGCTCCTAGCTCCGCCAAAGACTGTAGAGCGCTGCAGCGACAGCTGTGACGGGTCTCCTGCGCTGGGCCATCCACGGGGTTAAAGCGGAGGACCTGTTCGCAGCAGCACTGAGGTGAGGTGCTTTCTTCCAAAGCGGAAAGCGTCGGCTCCGGCCGGCAGGGCCGACCAGCGGCGCGAGTGCATGCAGTCCTTCTCCTCCAACGCGAGACGCCGCGAGACGCCGCGACCAACGCGAGAAAAGCGGTGAGGAGGAGGGGCGGAACCGGGGGCTCCTCCAAGATCCCTTTCCGCCGGCTCCAGACAGCGCCCTCGAGCCAGAGCCTCGGCCCGGCGGCCAACTCGGCGCGAAGCACGGGCCCTTTTTGTGAGGGCGCAGCCCTGCCAGGAAGACACCTCTTTCACGGGGGCGCGCCACTCTAAATCTGCTTCCCTCAAGTACGCAAAGCCGGCAAAGCCGCAGCGGCAACTCCCACGGCCTTCGAAAGACGCGTCGAGCAAAGCATGATCAGCCTGAGACTCACAGAATTCCTGCCACTCAACTCGCTATACCTCGCGACTCTGCGCTAGTCTCGCTCTGCCATGGATGCGCCTTCAACTGCTGCCGGACCTGCACAGCACTTGAAGACTTAGAGAAGTCTTCCGGTCATTCTGTCATTCTAGTTTCTTGTGCCGTGCCCCACTCAAGGAAGAGAAACGAGACGAGGAGACGAACGTCCAGGCCATCCTTTTGAGAGGCCCGGGAAGAAGCAGAGCATAGCAGAGCAGAGCAGAGCAGAGCAAAGCCCGAGCCACAAAACGATCGGAGCACGGAGAGCACGGTCCGCGTCTCCTTTCTCGACGCGACGGCTCGGCCGGCCGGCCTCTCTGCCCCTTCCACTTCACAGTTTTACTCGTGCGCCTCTTCTGCATTGGAGAGCAGATGCTCCACTCGATGTTGGAAGTGCATCCTCCATGCAACCCTGCGCGCTTGATCCCCCACTGAGCCCAGAATCGGAAGCAGGTCCTGTCCACAGAGGATCGCCGCAATCGAGCAGTCCCTTGGAGCGTCGCGATGAGGAAGCCTTTTCTCAGAAGTTTTCGGCCGCTTGGCCCAAAAATCTGGAGCGCTGCAGAGTTCCCTGGCCTTTCGGATTCAAGAAGTCGGACAGGTAGAAGCAACATGGGGCCTGCAGCGGGCGTGCACAACTTCTCGGGAGCCGCTTGCCTGCCTAGGAATCTATAGGACTGGAGGTCTCTAGCAGAGTAGAGATCCCCACAGACCCGGGCCTTTCCGCTGAGCTCCCAGGCGCGCAGCGCTCCCACGCGCCGGGCGACGTCCTCTTCGAAAAGATGCGGGTCAAATGAAGGAAGAGGGCGCTTTGGCAACTTTGGCTCACCTCTGTCCAGGAGGCCAGAGCTCGGCGAGGGGCCACCAATCCGCTCCAGGACTCGGGCACCGAGCCCGCCAAGAGCGTGTCCAACATGGCCTGCAGAGAAAACAGAAGACTTCTGAAAAAGGCCACTCCCCATCATCCGCACTCTGCCCCGCACCTCCAGATCTGAGAAGGACTCACCTCAAGGCAGGACGCATTCAGTGCCCACTGCCTGCCCCATGTCCAACTCGAGCCGAGGCCTTCCAAGTGGGCGATGAGATCCTGCAGAAAATCAAAAAATCTCCAGTCCCCAACTCTCTCTCTCAATGAAAGGCCCTCACGTCTCCTCGAGGCTCTGCCGGACGCTTCGAAGCAAGTGACTCGCTTGCAGAAGCTCTCGTTGGAGGAAGCTGTTCAGTGACATCACCACCGCATGTGGCAAAGCGTCGTCCTCCTCCTGGCTCTTTTTGGCTCACCGCGAGAAAACGCCTACAGAAGGAGCCAGGGCCGCAGGGCCTCTCCGGAGCTCTCGCTGCTGCTTGCGCCCACGGGCGCCACGGCGGCAGGGAGCTCCTCGCGAGAGCAAAAAAAGCGCTCAAAACCGCTCTCCTGACTGCGGACGCGGATCACGGGCTGAAGAAGCCTTCTGGAGGTCGGGCCCGGATGTCACAAACATCGCACACTTGCAGTGACATGCAGTGCCGCTCTATAAACGGGCTCCGGGCTTCGGGCCCTGGTGTGCACTCTCAGAGCCATTGGCTCGCTACCATCCCACTTTGTTTAGGAGACCTCTCACCACTTCGCCGGCCGAGTTCGTACAAACAGGTGTCCAAGCTGTTCCTGACAAAAAGGCCGAACTTGAATTCAGGGGTCGCCCAAACTTTGAACCCAAAGAAGCGTATGCAGCTCTGACAGGAATGCAAGGCTAGGCGGAAGGGTTGGCACGGCTGCAAGTCCCAACCAAAGGTGGACGCCGCCGGAGCTCACGATTCGAGCTTGTGGCTTCCCGAGGTTCCGCGAGGTGATAGGAAGGAGCCCACTGCCGCGCGAGCGAACAATAACAAGATGGCAAGAGCTCGAGTCAGAAGCTGGTGAGCGCGAAGAAGGTCTCAGGACACAAAGTCGATCGAGAGGACATCCGTCGCGGTGCCGAAAACTGCCATTTCACACACATGACCGCCAAAATAACAACGGCACCAAGCAACTTCCTTCGAAAGCGACACCCCAAAGGGCAAACCGCATGGGTCAAAAGCTCAGGCTCACATTGATTTTGCCGATTGGCAGATCTTCAGCTGCTCACCGCCGCTTCCCACTGAGCCGTGACCTTTCACTAGCCTGCTGCGCGCTGACCTGCAGTTGCCAATCTGCAGCAGAGCCCAGGAACCCAGGAGCCCAGGAGCCTAATTCCAAAACCTTCTGCCTTTCCACTTCGCCGAAAATCGCATCCCTTCGGTCCCTTCGCCCCGCCCTGCTGCTCACGGCGCCGTCCTCGAGGAGATGGAGGGCCAACGCCAAAGCCAGGGCGCCCGGAGTGCCCGGCGGGCCCGGCCCCGCGTCCGCTTTTCCTGCGCCTCTGAAGTTCGCCTTCGCCTCGAATCAAAGAGCTTTTTCTTTCCCCCTCAGAAAGCTGGCAGCCTCTGAGCTCTTCGCCGAGTTCAGGACTGCCAAGAGCGACTCGGAGACGTCCCTCTCGGCCTCGGCTGTCGCGGCTGCGCGTGGCTGCTGTCGCGTCGCGTACGTCGCGTCGAGGGCCTGTTGACGGCCATGTGAGCCGAGCTCGTTCGGACCTCACAGAAAGAAGGTCAGCACCAATGCCAAGGGCCCCTAAGCACAAATCGCATTTTGCGGGGACCCCCGCTTCCGAGGAAGTCCAAGGCCGACTCGAAGCTTTGCTTCTGAAAATCCATGTGCACCTCCCCCCCCCCCCTTCGGGAGCCAAGGCTGACGGCAAAAGACGCGCCACTCTGAGCCCCGCCGCACCAAGGGCGCTCCTGGACATCGGCCTCCGGGAGCCAAATTCGACAGGCGCTCTCCCTCAGCGTCGCAGCCCCTCTTGGGATCGCGGCGTCTGCTCGCGGAGGGCGTGGAAGAGGGCGACCAAACATCGCCGGGAGATCTGGCAGCGGCATGCCCTACCCGGCTCTGCCCGGCCCTGCCCTGGCCACCCGGTCACCCGGCCTCGCTGGGAAAGCCATAGAACACCTTCAAAAAGGAAGACACGGCAAGTCTCTTCTAATTCTACTCACTTGTACCTGCGTCACGTGGTAGCAGAGCTCGGACAACAAGCGATCCGAGCCCTGCGGAGCAGAGCAAAACGCAGTGTGTGGCGGCTTGGCCCTGCATGACCTGGAATCTAGAATCTAGAAACCGAAACAAACACGGGTGGCATCAAGAGTCACAAACTGGCATCATGGTGGGCGCTATTGAATGACGACACGGTCCTCATATGATGCAATTAAACTAAATGCCCATAGGCCGATATGTGCCTTCTGAAAAATAAAATAACGCATCCTTTTCCGTGAAGTGCTGATGCTGCACTATGTCACTATGCTCGGAGTGCCTTCTGGTTCGGCTACGGGCATCTTTACTTCTCAGGTGCCAAGAAAAAGGACATACAAAGACACACATACAAAGACACACACACACAC